CCCCCCCAGCCCCTCCATCACAGCTTGATTCTGCTGCCCCTACCAGTGCCCCCATCTCAGCCTGTTCCTGCACCACCGAGTCCCTCTATCCCAGCCTGGTCCTGGTGTTCCCAGTCCCTCCATTCCCTGGGTCCTGGTCCCTGACGCCAGCCTGATCCTGCTGCCCCCAGTGCCCCCAGCCCACTCCTGCTGCCCCCGCTCCCCCCGTACCTCCTTGAAGTTGTCGAAGGCAGCGAGGATGATCTCGTGGCCGCCCCTCACCAGGCAGACAGCTGCCAGCAGCTCCAGCACCAATGCCTTTGTCCTAGGGCAGAGCACCGTCATGCCCAGCTGGCACTGGGGACCCCCCTCCTGCCAGACCCCCCCTTACCTCGGGTTCTTGTTATTGAGGCTCAGGGCAATCTCATTGACGGCGTGGGGATGGGACATGACCAGGTTGAAGCCATACTGTGTGGACAAGAGCGGGGATGACATTAGCAGTGCCAGCATGATGGCAGCAGTGGCATCAGTGTGTCCTCCCCCTTGCAGGGCAGTGGTACCTGGTAGTTCATGATGGCCCGGAGACACATGATGCAGAGGTGGACATCATCCTTCTGGCTCACGAGACGCGAGTTCTTCAGTGCCCTGCGGCTCGGCAGCGTGCCGTAGCTGGGGGGACATGGGGCACCGGTGAGCAGGATCCTTGCACCACCAGTGCTGCACTGCCAGCACTCGCCTGGGCGGGAACCAGCCCCGCGGGACCACGATGGGGACAGCAATGGGGACAGCAGAGCTTTCAGAGGGACACCGGGAGGCCCGCGCCGCTGGGGGCAGCCGGTACTTACCCGGCGGGCGAGCGGCGAGGCGGGTGCGGAGAAGAGAGAGACAGAGCACAGCCAGAGAGGGGGGGGCCCGGCCCTGGAAGCAGAGATGGGGCACGTTACCCCGGGACGCGGGGGCAAAGCCAGGGTGGGGGTGAGCAGAGGCAGCGCAGCTGTGGCAGGCAGAGGGACAGGCAGGCGGCGTGGGCAGGATGGGGATGGCAGCACTCAGCTGCTGCAGGTGGGCAGGGGATGGTGTGCATAGCCAGCAGGACAGAATGCGGCACGCAAGGCAGCACAGGATGCGGCACATGTGGCACATGCCATGGCACAGCCACACCGTGGGCAAAGCACAGCCTGATGCTTGGAGGACACCACGGGGCAGCCAGCACACAAGACATGGCATGTACCATGCACATGATGGTGCACAGCACAATCTGCACCATGGGCAGGATGGTGCATGGCACGGCACACACCGTAACAGGATTGTACAATGGCACAGGGCACGATGGCATGGCACACACCATGGCAGGATGGTGCAATGACACAGGGAACCATAGCATGGCACGCACCATGGCAGGATGGTGCACGGCACAGAGCAAGATGGTACTGGGCATGGCACACACCACAGGCAGGACAGTGCAAGGCACAGCACGCACTGCATGGCAGTGGGCACACAGCATGCACCACAGGCAGGATGGTGCATGGCACAGGGCACCATGGCACGGCACACACCATGGCAGGATGCTGCTTGGCACAGCACACACCACAGCCAGGACAGTGCATGGCGCACAGCAAGCAGTAGTGCCATGGCCAACCAGAGCCGGCAGAGCAGGGCAGCTGTTGGGTGCAGCTGCAGGACGTACCCTGGCAGCTGGCCGGTGCAGTGGGTACGTACCGTAGGGCGGTCTGGCGCGCAGAGCGGGCAAGGCTGCTGGCGAAGGGGGCGGGCAGGGCGCTGGGGTGCTGCAGATCCTCGATGGACCTGCTCCAGCCGCGCAGCTTCTCCAGCGCGCCGTCCTCGCCGCCTTCCAGGCCCTCAAAATCCAACCTGTGTGGGACACGCGTGCGGCAGGGGAGCACACAGCTTCGGCAACAGAGCAGCACAGCCACCGCAGCAAGCACTGAAGCGGGTGGCAGCTGGGCAGCGGCGGGG